ATATATATATATATATGTGTGTTTTCAGGAGTTCAGTGTCAGCTTGTCAACGCGGAGGGCAGCGATGAACAATGTCGCAGCGTATGTACATGTATTGATCTGCCGGCACCAGGCACGTTTGTTATTTCCTTCTCGTCATAGTGGGGTCATGAACATTCCATGATCAATAATGTCATGTATGTTATTTGCTCTCACAAAAACACACTCAGATGCACAAAAACACACTCAGATGCAAACATGGACGTGTCTGTGCAGCGCGTAGTTGAGGGTGGGACAGGAACGGGGTGGTCCGGATTTTCGTCCTGAACTAAATAGCATGTCTTGTCTTCCAAATGGGCCCTTTTTCGCGGTGGCATCAGACAGCCTGCGCTCTTACTAGATGAGCTTTACTTTTATTGAAATCGCTTTAGATTGGCTACACCCTCCTGCGTGTCACTTCCAAGGTGGCCCTCCCCCTTCCATTGGAAATAAGGGAAAGACGAGCGCAACAGTTATTCAAATGCTGTCAGTTTCATTGAACGTGCAAGCAGTTCATCCTTTAAAGCGGTGGTTGTCAAACTTTTACCACCTAAAAAAAATAAATTGACTGAGCTCCGTGAGTACCACTATCATGACGTAATTAAAGTACAGTAGCGTAGTTGGCCCAAATGTTCATTAAAAAAATGGTGTTATTGGATATTTATACATGTTTAATATTAGTAAAAAGTCTGAATAACACTGCTTATTAATGTGATCATTGATTCGTTGTCAATTTGTCAATGGCTTGTCAACCAAATTGAACTACTAAAGCAATTTTCTCATCACCCTCAATTGTGATTAGTGGTCAAAAGTATTGGTACACCGCCTGATGTCACTTCCGGTGAACTCTCCATGCTCTGAAACAACCTTTGTTGAGACTGCTGCTTCTGGAATAAATGTCACCCCCACAAAAAAGCCAAAGAAAAAAACAAATACGGACAGGATTTGCCCATCCGAGCTCCTGTGACGATAGATTTTATCAAGCGTAATTTGGCCCTTACTAGGTATGTTCGTGTATTTTCCCCGCGCGTCGGCTGAGAGCGGAGGCGATGGCTCGATTTAATGTGAAAAGGGCTCACAAATGCAAAAGCGACTCTTCCCAGAAAAGGGTTCTTGAATTCACACCACCTTCCATCTCTTGTCTCCTCTCCGGCGAATATATGCGCTCACCTATAGTGCTCGAACTGTCTTTGTGGTGCAGCTCCTCTCATGCATGCCAATTTGTATTTTTTACTTCATTAATACTTTTTTTTTTTACTTTTTGGACACAACTGACCAGAGTCAGTGACGAGGAGCTCATGAGATTGTGTGCAATGAACATCTAGAAGTAGTTGTACTTGTTATTATTCTGTATGTGTTTCGGTGTATGTGTAAATAAGAATGGACTCCAGTGAGAGGTTGTTCTCACAAGCACCTCCTCGACTGTTTTGACTGGTTTCATAACAGCGCCTAGCACTACCTGCTTTTTATTTTATTTTATTTTTATTAGAGTTCCAAGTGCTGCTTTTGAATTTCTGAGTGAAGTTCAAATAGAATTTTGGGCTAGGGCCCGATTCCGATTTTTGGGATCGTAAATTTCCGATAACCAATTGATCGGCTGATTAATGTGAAAATATAGAATGAAATTATTTTAACTAGAAGAACAAAAGGGAAAATTGGTTGGTTAAAAAAAAATCAACAACAAATTGTTTTTTGTTGTCTTGTGTTAAAGCCTGAATTATTTTTTTTTAAAGGGAAGAACAATTGGCTAAAATCTGACGATTAAATCGGACGGGCCTTATCCCCCCCCGCCCCCCCATCAAAAAATTTGGTGTAGAAGAAGAAAACATCTAAAAAATAATAATAATAATGATAGAAGTCTTAAGAAATTCAAACTTGGCACAGATGTACTTCCATACGATATAAGTCCATAAGAGGCCTTCTGGGAATTGTCTTTCGGAGCTTCGTTTGAAGGAGTCAACTGAAATCTCACTCACTTTTGTAAATGCATCTATACTTGTTGAAAATGAATTTTACTTCCAGGGCTTGACGTCTGACAAACTTTAACCACTTCACCCAAAACGTGCCCCGATCGGAAGCGGGTATTTTAGACAGATGGCCGATGTGAAAATGGAGGCTTACTATTGCACGTAGGTGGAGAACGGCCTCAAAGTTTGATGGTCATTTAGCCGATTTGGAGCTATAAGAGGCCCGTTCAACTCGGTTTGCAGCTCTCATTGATTAAGTGGTTTTTGAGCCCCCACCTTCCCATCAGTGACCATTTTGAACAGAGGAAGAAGAAAAAAAAATGCGGGGAACATTAATGTCTACTATGCAAAAGGCAAGAGGAAGAGTTGGATGACTTTTATATCAACTGACCTGTGTAACAATTGCTACTCTCATGTTGCATGCGCCATCGTTACCTGCGCGCTAGGCATCGACATTAAAAGTATGACGAGTTTTCTGCCTCTGATTCTTGTGTCTGAGCCATCCATCCATCTGGCCTTTTTCTATACTGCTTGTCCTCAACGAGACCAGGATAGTGACAGAAACACACACACACACACACACACACACACACACACACACACACACACAAATAGGGCAGGGGGTGCATGCTACAATGATTATTGAGCAGCATCGCCATCACAGCAGAGCATGTGCGCATAGCGAGAGGTTGCCGTACTTACTTTCCGTCTCATCTGCTGAAAGAATTCCATCGGGTGTATGTTTTTTTGGGGATCTGGAGGTGACATTTCCAAGGACCGCCGAAGATTGCAATGCAAAGAAGTGCAATGTTTACCTGCGAAAGATGCATCGAAAAGTTGACCGGGCATTCAAGCAAGTGAAGCCAAGTTGAGATAAAAGGCAACAGTTTTTTTGGGAGGGCGGGGAGGCATGAGGCTGTGCAACCGGGGGGTGATGATGCTGATGACTACGGCCGGGGCCTTCTGCGCCTTCAGCCTCATGACCATCGCCGTGGGCACCGACTACTGGTTGTACTCGCGCGGGATGTGCCGCTCCAAGAACCTGGGCGACAACGAGACAGTCCGCAAGAACGAGGAGGTGCTCACCCACTCTGGCCTGTGGAGGACCTGCTGCACTGAAGGCAAGAATTAAAAAATAAATAAATAATAAATTAGACTGATTTTATTATATAACATTCTTTTTTTTTTAATGCAATACGATTATTATCATTAAAATTGTGTAACTGTATGAATATTATTGCTATTATCTTATATTCTTTACTGAATTAATAGTTATTTATTTAACTTACTTGGAATGGCCTCTTCATTTTTTGGGGCGTGTATTTGTATAATTATGCTTGACTTTGTATGTTGTTATTATTATTTTATATATATATTTTTTTATTTCAACCTCTCCTTTTGCAATGAACAAGCTTCAAAGTGCAAAAATGCATATGGGATGGAGTCGTAGCCATTGTCATTTTAACAACCTTAAATATAAAGAAAAGTGTACATGGTCATTTTTTCTCCACGACGATTTTTCACAAGTTGCAGCCACCCAATGACTTTTGTTTTGGTAACCATGATGATAGAGCCCACGTCATCAATTCCGGTCGATTGGTGTTGCGCATAGGGACATAGTCATCAATATATCCGCATGTGATGCATGTGTGTGTGTGTGGGGGCGGGGGGGTCAAAAGGCATCGCGAGCAGCAAGCAAAGTTCGAGTTTCGAGTGTGCACGTGATAAAACAAAACAAGGAGGAATGTTCCTATGTATTAAACGAGTGCAGTTGAAGCCTGCAGCACATTTGTTCAGATTTTATACAAAACTGTCTCATGAGTTATTCTGAAAAGTTATCTAAAGCTAAAAAAAAAAAAAGGTTTTGAAGCCAACTTTGGAGCAGAACTGAGGCCAAACAGGGACATCAATACCAAAGTGCATCAGATGATGCACATCCCATTAAGCATGACGCAAGTCAGGATTGGAGGGAGGGAGCATACAAAGTGGACGGGGTCAAAGCGAGAAAAAAAAAATGAAAGTGAAAGTGTGTCGTGCTATAAAATAACAGAGCGGGGTACTCTAACATGATCAAAAACGTTTACATTGGCATTTGCTTCTCTGCAGGAACATTCCGAGGAGTTTGCAAAGACATCGATCACTTTGCAGAAGATGCGGACTACGAGCAGGATGCCGCAGAATATTTGCTGCGTGAGTAGTCGCTGTGCTCCCATCATATTATGCAGGGTGTTTCAAAAGGCACTCCAAAACTATATTGGAAATTGAACGGATTCTAATTTATTGTTGTTGCACGCGCATGAGTAGAGAGCAACGAAATTCACTCAACAGTTACAAAGCATTCAAGAGACATTGAAAAAAAAAAAAAGACCATCAGAGGGAGACAGGACAGAGAAGCCTGACACGTTGCAGAACGGTACCCTGATTTTCTGAGGTGAAAAAGAAAAACAAGGTAGGAGGAAGGGGAGAAAAAACAGTAAGTCAAGTTTGCGCCTGACTTACTCTCATTTACACGTATTTCATGTCAGACCTGACGCTGATGCTCCGATGCAACTCTTTTGCAGGATCTCTGTGCAAAAAAAAAAAAAAGAAGAGGTAGCTTTTAAGATTTTTCTGCTTCATTGCTAGTAAAGAGAATTATCCCTTTCAGGGGCGGTGCGAGCATCCAGCCTCTTCCCCATCCTCAGTGTGGGATTGCTATTCCTTGGAGGTGTGTGCGTGGCAGCCAGCGAGTTCTACAAGTCACGCTACAACGTCATCCTGACGGCAGGCATTCTCTTCGTATCTGCAGGTGAGGGACGCACACACACTAAAGTGGTAGTGGTGGGGGGGGGGTGGATTTCTGCGCAGTAGCGATTGACTTTTTTTGTTGTTGTATTTACAAGGTCTGTGCACTAATGGCTGTTGACTTGAATTGAGTAGCGCACTGGCCCCTGTTAACTAAACCCCCCCCCATTTGGTGGTTGTGTACAAAACATACCGCAAAATGAACCCGCCCCGCCAAAAGTTAGGTCAGTCACTTTTTGACACATCCATCCATCCATCCATTATCCAAACTACTTGTTCTCAAGATGGTCGCGGGCGTGTGTCGTGGACTTCGGGCAACTGGCGGGGTACACACCCTGAGCTGGTTGCCAGACAATCGCAGGACACTCATAGATGTTCAACCATTCACACTCACACTGTTCAATTAACTTGCCACGCATGTTTCTGGAATGTGGGAGGAAACCGGAGTACCCGGAGAAAACCCACGCAGGCATGGGGAGAACATACAAACTCCACACAGGAAGGCCCGAGCCCGGATTTGAGTTATTTTTCAAGCGAACTGTTTTCAGAGCGTACCTATCATTTGAGCAGGACTCCCATATGTTCATATGCCCACTATCAAAAAAGGAGTGGCTTATTCAGGGGTTGCAAGGGAAGGGAAAAGACTAAAAACTAGTCTTATTGTTGATATTTTTCCCCTGCTTTAGGCTTTTTTGTTGTTGTTGTTGTTCTTGACTCCCCACATGTCACTCTTCAGGTTTGAGCAACATCATTGGCATCATTGTGTACATATCGGCCAACTCCGGAGACCCCAGCCAGAGCGACAACAAGAAGAGCTATTCGTATGGCTGGTCCTTCTACTTCGGGGCGCTGTCTTTCGTCCTGGCCGAGATGGTGGGCGTGCTGGCGGTTCACGTGTTCATCGAGAAGCACCGGCAGCTCCGTACCAACGGCCGGCCCTCTTTGCTCAAACCGCCCGTCTCGCGCGGCTCGTCCAACTACCGCAACCGCTACTACAACAACTGTCCCCGCAGGCACAGCAGCAGGAGCAACCACAGCGGCACCGCCGACTCGGCCCCCGACTCCCTGCGAGCGTCCCTGGTGCGAGAGGCGTCGCTCTCATCAGGCGCCAAGGTGGCCGCCTTACCGGGGTTGCCCGCTCCGGTCGTGTCGGAGTTAATGCTCTACGCCCTGAAGGACGCGGACGTGATGTTGGACAGTCTACGGGCCGCGCCTCAGGACGCAGACGACTTGCTGGCTGGAAACTGTGCAGCCAATCGGAGAACCACTCCGGTCTGATAAGAAACTTGACAGGACAATGTCATCTTAATCCAATTCATGATTAAGATTGATTCCTGACAATGTGTCTGCATTCGTGTAGCAAAAGAGTAAGAGTTCAGCAAAAACAAAACCTCTTCTTACTGCCCTCCTCTAACCATATACAGTAATGCGTGGCTTTAAAAATGAATTTGGGTCACATCATTTTGCGTCGTACTCCTTTCACAAATGGTTAAAGTTACCATTTCAGAGAACCTTTTTCATTTCGGTACCCCTCACCACATTGCCTCTGGACATTCAATGCTTGGGGAGTGTGTAGAGGCTGAGACGAGAGCGCGTGTTTTCCTGTAAACGTGAGAGAGGGGAGGGGGGGCTTCTCAGAAAGAATGTGATAAGGGAAGCTGGAGCTCTGCCAGCCGGTGTGAAAGCACTTGAAATTCCAGAGTAAAAATAGGATTAGCATTGTAAGGCTTGATACGTGTGTGTGTGTGTGTGTGTGTGCGCGCGTGTGTGTGTGTGTGTATGTGTGTGTGTGTGTGTGTGCGTGTGTGTGTGTGTGTGTGTGTGTGTCGGGGGGGATTTTTCAGTCCTTCTCTGTGACTGTGAGTCATTCAGTCTTGGGAAGAAGCAGACTTTCCCAAAAAGACAAATTTTTCCGGGACCGTTCGTTCATTTTCTCTCCCGAGTCACGTGACCCCCATTGACGCATTCTTCCAGCATCCGAACGCTATTCTCCCCCCTCGAATCGAGGGGTGTGGTGAAGTCCGGGGCTGTTACTTTCACTTTTTTACTTTGCTCATAAGCTTTCCGCTTGAGCAAGAGGTTGCACTCTTGTTTTTGTCTTTTACCCAGGCGACTCAGCAACTAACTAGAAATAATGTTTTCCTGTTACGTATTTTGGGCTGCTATTTCGCTGTCTGGCTTTCTGACTGACTTCCATGTGTTCGGCTGTGGTAAGTGAAAGACACTTTAGCTTCCCTGGAGGTTAAGATGAACTGGGAAAGATTCTTCAGTTAAACAACAGAGCGTAATGAAATTGTTTTCAATGTAATGATTTCGCCACTATAAATGAAGATGTATTCCATTGTACAATAAAAATGCCACTGGGTGATTACCGGTAATAATGAAATGAATTGTTGTTCTGTGCGGGGGTTCAAACTGTTTGCCATCATAACACCTTTAAACTTTCTCGCAGGCAAAGTTTTAAATGCATTTTTTTTTGGGGTGGGGGGCGACACCCAATTCTCACCCGAGTCGAAAAAGATGAACTATGACCATAAATTATGACAACATGTGACAAACGCGTGGCGAAGGAGGAAGCGGGCTGAGGGATACTTGACGAAGATGAAACTGCATGACTTTCACAAACAATGTTCAAAGAAGTGAACTGCTTCCACTACAAAACAGGAACAATAATAACTGCTGCACCCACGCTCTACTTTTGACAACACATAGCGGAAGTGTCAAACAACTAGGGAAGGAAGGAATCTTGTCAAAATGAAGAATCAAACCATTTATCAACTGTGCAAGTGTATAAAGATCAAGTTAACCACAGTTAAAGTAAGAGTTTAAAAGAGCTTTAAAAACAGACAACATACTGTACAGGGATGTCTGCGCAAGGCATTAGACATGTTTCGGCTCCTCTCAGCTCTTGGCAGAGGATAAAAAATCTATATGAGTGAGCAGTGTTACGTCGAATGCCTAAATGTGTTGCTGCACCATTAATGTTCAAATTATCAGCTGCTTAAAGGGCAATATACAGTATGCGTTTCCCATTTTCTGTCAGCATTAAGCTAGCAGACTAAAGGCAACAATAAATTGTGACTCACCAAGAACTTTGATGACGTGACGGCGCATAGTTGATGGGGAACGGGGAGAAGAAAGCCTGCCAGCATCGCTTATTTTCATATTATCAACTGTCAAAAAAGAAGTAAACAACTTTGATAATTAAAACGGGGGAGGGAGAGTGCCACTGCGAGGCACTACTGTATGTCTATTTCCATTCGCGTATTTCAGTGTCTTCATAAAACGATTAATATTCCAGTTGATCTCCAAGCTTTCACTGAGTTATTCAAATTCAAGAAGGTTCTGGCGTCAACATTTGCCAAGAATCCCTGAATTATCGACTGTAAATCCCCTTTGCTTTCCAGATGACTACTGCACAGACAAGCCTGTATTCAATCCGCCCAGACTGGCGGTCAAGTTTGGCACGTCGGCGTCAGCCAAGTGCTCCGTTTGCCAACACGCTTGCCACAACAAGTTGTTTGGTTTGGAAAAATCAGTCGGCAAAATACAACGAGACGGGACCACCATTTTGTGGACGGTGGACAAAATGGTTGTGTACCCTTCATTTGTCATGTGCTACTACAACAACGGCAACGGATCCCAATGCTGTAGCACCCTGCCCATCACCGTCTACCGTAAGGCCTTCCTTTCTTACCTATCTTACTTCCTTCCTCTTCTTGACCGTTTTTGGACCTATGATAAGTGCCTGTTGGGATTTAAAAATATTTGCCACTACCGCTGAGAAGTGTCAATGTGCTCTTTTTTTGTTGTTGGCTTATAAAACTAAGACCAAACTATTTGGAAAAAGCACAAAACTACACACCTTGCTCAAAAGGAATTCATCTTATCATCTTAAAACATCACCCTGACAGTAAAGTATGGTGCAGGAGACATTTTGAGTTTGGCCTGCTTTGCTTCATCAGGGCCGGACAGCTTGGAATCATTGGAATCAAAAACAAAAAAAAGCAAGTCTTACCAAAACAAAATCTGCTTTTTAGAGTGAGCAAGACATAGCCCAGATCTCAACCCATGTCAGATTATTATTACTATAGATGAATTTGAAGAGGGTCATACACATGAAATACCCAAATAATATGACATAACTAAAGCAGTTTCGTCTGGAAGAATGGGTTAAAATTCCCGATGTCCATAATAAATGCATTGTTGTTTTTTTAAAATCAAAAATATTAACAAAACAGGGATAAACCTCAGCTTTTTCCATGAGGGAAAAAAATTAAGACGATTATAATTTACAATTTGTTATTTTGCCATTGTTGAAGTCTGCAGTTAATGCATTCCAATTCATAAATTGTATAATGGCAAATTACTTTGCAGTAGACGATAACTACTTATGCTGAGTGAATTTTCGGAAGTAACTTCCCTAACACTATCTTATCCCCATGCGTCATCAATAATCATAAAGGGAAGTGGTCAAAATGGGAACATTTTGTTTATTTTAACCCCTCTTCACCTTGTGTCCTCGCAGAGCCTCCCACAGAGGTCGATCTGGGGTTTGTCGGTCACTCCGGGCCGATGGTGGAGGGCCAACAGTTCGTGCTGTACTGCAGCGTGAAAAAAGTTGCTCCTCTCAAAAACCTCATCTTGACCCTCTATCAAGGGGAAAACGCAGTCGCCCGGCGGCACTTTAAGAACAACACAGAGGAGAAGCCGGCTGACAGACAGTTCAACAACGTCATCAATGCTACCAAAGAAAACGATGGAGCCCAGTATATGTGTCACGCCCAGCTGGACATGAGACCCGATAGTGTGCTGTACATTGCTCAGTCTGGTCGTCTCATCGTCGATGTTCACTGTAAGTTTGATGGCATGTGCCACAAATATCGGTACCCTCTGAAAAATGATGACCCATTTCCGCCACAACAAAAAAAAAAGTTTTTTTTGTTTTTATTGTAAGAAGCCAGTTTTTGTGTGTGTGTGTGTGTGTGTGTGTGTGTGTGTGTGTGTATGCGCACGCGCGGTGAGCCAGTGGTTAGCATGTTGACCTCACAGGTCGTGGGTTCGATCCCATGACGATTGCTGGAATTAGTCTTCTGTCATTCAAAAAAAAAAAAGAAAAAAATCCACAGGCAGAAACGGGCTTCCGGCAGTAAAAATTTGTAAATAAATTAAATAAAATGATTTCACCAAAATAGGAGAAAAATTCCACACATTTCAATGTAAGCCTCGGTGTGCACAAACCATTGGCAATTTTGGATTGTAGCTCTTTTCTACTAATTAGGTCTACTTTCTATCGTCACACTAAGACAAAATATTTTAGCTTATTATTGACATAGAACACATTTTATGAGTGCAAAGATCCCCCACCAATTGGCGAGATTAATCATGAATCTAAAGAGGGCTTTTTTGAAACTGCCTCGAACCTCAGGCATAACAATATATCACTATCTGAAAATCCTCAAGGGATACAGATCTTTAGCATTTTTGCCAAGAACAATCTCACTATTTTATTTTTTTATCCCCGTCAATCGACACACAGATAAGCCTCACTTCAACGGACCTGCTGAAGAACAGATCAGCCTCACAGTGGGAGATCCCCTTCACCTCAACTGCTCCGCCAAGGGCAACCCAAGACCCTGGGTGACGTGGACCCTCCCGTCGGCCGCCACCTTCGACGGCGATGTGTTCTCGGTGGACTCGGTCACCACGGAGCATCGAGGACTGTACATCTGTTCTATGAGCAACAAATTGGGAATGACCACTGTTGAATTTAACGTGGATGTACAGGGTGAGTTGATGACTTATACTTGAAGGCCATGTGCACAATTACTGTCATGCTGATTCGCTTGTTGGTTATTCATAATTTCTGGCACAACTGGTTGAAAGTCAAAAATTCACATGACACAGTTATAGGTCATATATGTGTACAGTTAATTCCGTGATTAACGTTTCAGGATTCAGAGGACTTGAAGGTTGAAAGTGTTACATTGTGGAAGTTTTTTTTTTTTTTAAATTCCACAAAGACAAGAGTACTGCACTCATGATGTGTTTTTTACCCTTTCATGCACCCTGTAACCTAAGATGTCCACTGAAGTAACCGCCGTCCCCGAAAGGGTTAATTTGATCCATCAATGCATCCGTATTCGTACTTGACTTTCCTTCTCCCCGATGTTAAATTTGTCACCCTTTCATTCTCTCTCTTCGCAGTCAACTACCTAAATATTATTTTCGCGGTGGTCGCAGCGGCGGTCGCTCTTGGGGTCCTCATCATCTCGGCGGTGTGCGTCTATTACTACAGAGTGAGCCGGACTGGCCAATACAGCCTGAAGGACGTGTTGCGTTTTCGTACCCCGCACGTGGCCCTCCCAGCTGGGGAGTTGTAAAGGGCGAGGTATGGAACGAGCACAAAGGCGTTGCCGTTTCTCCAAACGCATGCATACTTGTGCAAAGTTGATGAACAAAGTCCATTGACGGCACAAAGCTCCCACTGACAATATGAGGTCCGTGTTTGAATTGTTGTTGTTGAAGCGAATGGGGATTACGTGAGTGGTATTGATTGCTGCTGCTGGTTGGTGCATTTATTTGGATGCAGCTTCCTGGTTACAGATTTTTAAAATTTTTTTTTTTTACATTTCATTCATACACTGGTGCCTTGAGAAAAGAATAACCTGACGTGCCATCTACATGATGTGTATTTAAGACAGCCACATTGTGTTGGTAAAGCCCGCTTAGCGTGATGCTCACAAGCAATGTAAAATCCGATCGACGGCTCCTTAAGTAGCATCCATGTTGCTGTGTTTCACCCCTTAAAGAAAGGGGGATTCGAAACAGCGGAGCAATACCTGTAGACAGGCAATAAAACAATAACGATCGGCATAGATTCTTTATCCTCTGACGGTTAATGTTACAGCTCGCTGAGGAGTTGTAACTTCAACGGCTTGCATATGTCTGTATTACACTCCCCCCAAGTGGCCACGTTAGTGCTGTACATTCAGTTTAATTATGTTAATATGACAAATATATAATGTACAAGATTATCGTGCCATTTTCCCAATTAAAAAAAAAGCATTGAAGGTTGATGTCGATTTTTGGCACTTCCATTAATTTCAATGGGAAAAGATGATTTGAGAGACGAGTGTTTTGAGTTATGAATGTTGTCTCTGATTGAAATTATGAAAAAAAATCTACATTAATTGCACTTTTTTCTTGACAAGGAAAAGCAGTTTCCTTTTGTATGTGCGTGGTAAAAAGCACAATATAAACATTTCAAATCATGTTTCATTATTTTCGTCACTATGAGAAATAACTATGAGATCTCGCGTTTTCATGTCTAACACTAATCAAAATGTTTTTAATCTGAAAAGGAAAAAAAATTATCACATGCACTGTCGATTAAAGCTGCAAGTGGTCACACACGTTGGTTAAGTTTGGATTAAGTGGATCACAATTTACTGTCGCCCATCTGTCTAGTAGCCGTCATTCAAATTTGGTACAAGTCAGATAAAATCTTTACGAGTGGTTCGTTAGCCAAAATGAACCGAAAATGACCGCTTCAAATCAGATTGCACACTTCCTGTTTCTTTTCGGGCAGGAGTTCGGGAGACTTTTTTTTTTTTTTTTTTGGGGGGGGGGTCTCCTCATAGACAAGACTACTAAATTACAGTGAGAGTTGACTTTGGGGCTGAATTGAAAATGAAAGTGAGATTTTAAAAAAAAGATGGATTTTTTTTTTTGAAGTGGGGGGGCTAAGAATATGGAAAAAACAAACCAAAAAAACCAAAAGAAATCAATTATGAGAGGGTCACATGCTCAGGACCTAAAAAGCGAAAAGTTAAAGTTTCTTCTTCTTCTTTTTAAAGTGGAGAGGAAACGTCATTCGTTATGGTCAAACATTTCTGGTGAAATGAGCGCCATTTCTTTGAAGTGTAACACTGACAAAAAAAATAAATAAATAAAAAAGAGGAAGCTCAACTAGTCCCAAAGGTAATAAAGTATCTGCAGGAATTCCTTTTGCTTTCCTGTTTATCACAACAGTAACACCTCCCAGGAAGCGTTTTGGCACCTTGCAGCGGCTCATGTGTTTCTGATTCGAGTCAGGAATATCTACAGTACTTCCGTTTTTGCGATAAGAAAGTTCAGCCTTCAATAATAAAACACAGATGAAATTGTAATACTGGATAGTGCCGGATGCAACTGAACTGACTGCTGTTCAGCAAGGCTTGCTATTTTCAATTGTCTGCTGTCTTCACTGCATGCTAAAATGCAACGATAGTACTATGACGGCATGTTAGCAAAACCACTTTTTTTTTTTAAATATACATGACATCATTGAAGGGGCGGACATGTTCTCATTGTGAATATACATCCTGCCTTTGAAAGTTTTTGCCCTGTCAGTATTTCTTTTTTTTTTTTTTTTGTATCCTGAGGCGAAATCAATGCACACATAAATCACTCTGAAGTACTGTACTGTGAAAATGGCACCTGATGTGGACACTGTTGTTCCAAGTTTTATAAAAAATTTTTTTATATATGTATGTATATATGTGTCATTTCTATAAATAAAACATATCTGTTGAAATGCGTTAAACAAATAGTCATTGGTGATGTAGCGGTTCACTAGCCTGGAGAAGACTGCAAATGTTATTGAATATAAAATTGTTCGATCATATTAAATATTCATGTTGAAATGAAAGTTACGCATTATTGTGACTACTACTATTTTTATCCAAGTGCCCATTCCATGGTGGAGATGCGCTTCTGCCATGCCTAGTCTCTAATGCAAGGGCATTAAAATTTTTTGGCATGGGCCACTTTGGAGTTCCGTTCTGACAGCGAAACTACAAAAATGATTCATCGTCTCATCGCATTATTACTTGTACACAACAAATTAATGGATTACTAGTTTTGAAATCGTATAAGTCAACTAATAATAGTTTTTCAATAATTGTTCAAGGGATTGTAAACAGGGTAACAAAATTATTGTAAAGTCTCAACTTGAGTTGCTTCGATGAGAAGAACATTGAGATGCTGCACGAGGTCATCGGCAACCTGCACCCTGATGCGAGTAGGTGGATGGGTACTGATGATGATGATGATGATGATGTGGTGGTCTCCACAGGAGGGCAAGTATCACCTGGCAAGGTGCATCGACTCCAAACTGTGGGTGCCTGAGTCGGAAAAGAATGAAGATGAAGGCGGACAGGATGAAGATGAGGATTAAACACTGGGATGTGTTCCTAATATCTTGGCCGCATTTCATTTTTTTCATCAGTTTATTTTTAGACAACATTTATTGCATGCCATGTTGTGAATATAAAAACCTCTCGACAGAAATGCCTGATTTTTGTGATATGAGCATTTGAGATCAAGATAAGTCATGAATGTGACATGTGAATCTGTACATCTCCATCGCTGCATCCACTTTTTCCAATCCACTTATCCTCAAGAGTCGCGGGGCGTGCTGGAGCCTATCCCAGCTGTCTTAATGCAGTAGACAGGGGGCACCCTGAACCGGTTGCCAGCCAATCGCAGGGAACACAGAGACGAACGAACAACCATCCGCGCTCACACTCACACCGAGGGACAATTCAGTGCGTTCCATTAACCTGCAATACATGGTTTTGAAATGTGGGGGGGACAGAACACCCGGAGAAAACCCACACAGACACGGACGGGGAGAACATGCAAACACAGAAAGGCCGGAGATGGAATCAAACCCTGCACCTCTCCACTGTGAGGCCGACGTGCTAACCAGTCATCCACTGGGCCGCTTGTTATTATTATCTTCAGGATAATTTTGTTTAATTACATTCATTAAATTGACACATTTTTAGAAAATAAAATATCTGGCGCATTATCTTTGAATAATGAAAATCATTGCACGCGAGGTCATTTTAACATTTACCGTATGTATTGTACAAATTTGGAGCAAATCTGAAATTGCTAAGCATCAAGCTGTCTGAGTGGTCCTCAGATGAACAAAGGTAGGATTTTTTTGGAGGGGGGAGTGGGGGCTGAAGAATAGGAAAAGGTCACAGAATAATCTTTCGAAAAAAGAGAGAGGGAGAGAAAGGGGTACTGAGGACGAGATTATGATTGGACAGTGAATGTGGGGAGAAAGGGGGTGGGGGGGTGCAACGGGCCTCTCCATTAAACTGGTTAGGGGGTTGAGGAGATGGGTGGGTGGGGGGCTGGCTGGCTGGCTGGCTGGTTGGTTGGGTGAAGATGATGATGATTTGGAGGAGGAGGGGGAAATGAGAGGAGATCCGGGGAGGGTGGGAAGCTGGTATTCATGAAGACGCAGAGTGTTTGCGACACATGCGCGGCTCGTCTGCAAGTAGCCAGCACGGACAGCAAGCAGGAGGAGAAGGAGGAGGAGGTGGAGGAGGAGGAGGAGGAGGAGGAGGAGGAGGTAGAGGAGGAGGAAGAGGAAGAGGAGGAGGAGGAGGGACGGCCCGCCTTCATCTGGACGCCATCAAGGTGAGTGTGTTGTTGTTTTAAAAAATGCTGCAGCCTGACGTGTCATCCGTGTGTGCGTACGAGGGGCATCCCTTCTGCTGCATCTTCATATCTGCCTCCTGCATGTATGTCACTGTGTCACCCTCCTTCTCCTCCTCCTAAAGTGTGTTTGTGCGCATGCAGACTAGTTGACCCTACGTGCGTGCGCGTATGATGCCAGGTGATCAAATATGCCGAGCACCTCCCAATGCAAAAAAAAAAAAAAAAAAGGAATTTGGGTCAGCGTCGGACGGCTCTGAGTAATTATATAACGGGAGAGAGATTTGGTGTTGCAGTATGCTCTCGGAATTAGCTCTCGCTCCCGCAAGGCCACCACAATGACACCGTGTTTATATTTATGTGCCGGCGTCGTGTTGTTCGAGACAAGAGATCTGCAAGGGATTTCAATTCCTTTTTTTTTTTTTTTTTGGTGTGTGCACCCAAAGGGGAAAGCGCCGGGCAAAAATGGTTTGTTTGAATTTCAGATGAAGTGCTTTTTAAAGTGCTCGGAATATGAAGCATTTCTCACAAGAATGGCTCGCTTGACTGCATCATGGAGAAAATACAAGAAAATGTATAACAGTCAAGTTATGATTAAGTTGCAATATGTCACGATAAAGTCATCAACAAGAAAAAAGTCAAAATGGTACAAAAGTAATACTGCAATTTTTGGAGAATAAAGTTGTATTGTCCTAAAACAAAGGCACAATGTAGCAAGAAAAAGATCGTAACATTCAGAAAAAGTCATAATTTTACACAGAATTAAAAAAACAATCCAATAGGAAGGCAACACTTAATTGATTATATCATTAATTTACAACTACTTTTGAAAATCGTTGAATCCTTTCGATTTTTTTTTTTTTGGTTGGTAAATTTCTCCAACAGAAAATATCAATCCGATTTCTCCAGTCCGCCATGAAAGCAGACTGATTTGAAATATAACATTTGCTTGTACTTTGGAAAACAATAACTGACATGTTTGCCTATTTTCTGACATGTTACGGACCAAGCAGTAACGGAATCACAATTGTCATTTAAAAATAATATCCTGTTTTTAAATAAGAGGATGGATTTTTTTTTTAATCCGATCCAGCGATTGACAAAATAATTGACAGATTAATCGATTATTAAAATAATCCTTAGGAGCAGCCCTACATCCATCCATCCATCCACTTTCTAATCTGATAATCCTCCCACGGGTCGCGGGCGTGCTGGAGCATAGCAGCCCTACAATAAAGTTATAATATTATATCCTAATATTATTTTGAGAATTTGATGCAATGGTATGAGAATGATCTCATAATGTTAAAAGTCATGTCATGAGAAAAACGTTATGAGAATAGATTTATAAAGTTATTGTTCAAAATTTTTTATGTAGTACCGATATGATGAAGAGAATAGTGTTGAATTTGAATTTCGAAAACAAAATGATTCTGTAATATTATACTTTCACTGTTGTAGATAAATAAAAAAACAAACAAGTGTTTCAAAAGGAGTTATAAATAACATAACAGATTTGTTTTCTCTAATATGTTGCAAATATATTCTTTAATTGTATCACTTTATTTCCCTTTAATGTTTTTCCTTTGCCCGGAAGATGTCGTTAAGAAGCGTGGTTGCCTTCTGTCAGAAAAATGTGTGCCTTTGGACAAACAAAATATATTCTATGCTAATTAGAACCTCGGATCATCTTTTGTTTTGAATGCGAGAATAAGAAAATTAACTTTGGTAATTTTGATACTTTTTTTTTAAAAATCATTTTGCTGTTGGACCAAGCGAAATGTTTGTGGCTGAGAATATGCCAGTTGCATGTGCGTATATACACAATATGACCTTGCCCAAGGTGAAATAGGGACACGCTTCTTACAAACAGACCATCCTGGTTGATTTGAAGGTTCTCCTTGCATGCAAGTTTTTATGAAACGGCATCTCATTATTGTCAAAGTGCTTGTCGACTCAAGTGTTTATCCCCTTGACACCATCTACAGTGACACTCTCCACAGATCTCTTAGAATATTTGTAGTTTAGCTGTGGAGTGCTTTAAACACTTTAAAAACTTCACAAATTGCTCTTAGAGGTGACCTTGAATGCTGTTTGTTGCTCCCTCACAGAATGAAGTGAAGAGACGTTCAAGCTACTCGTGACCTTCCGAGACGACTTCCGCGCAGTGATGCTCGACATCCCGAAAGGTCACCGCAGATTACGACGCTTCTGGAATTTACTACTGCACCAGGGACAGATTTTTACGAGGTTGGAACTATGCAAGGAAGATTCCGTGTTGGATTAGCGGATTTGGGGATTTTATTTTTTTTTTTGCAAAACTCTCCCGGCCGCGGCATCATGGACCCTAACTGGGGTGTGCTGTTGCCTCGCCTGGCTCAAGCGGGAGCACATGCTGGTGGATCTTCACGCCTGAAACTCTTTGTTTCCTCAAACGTAGAGTGAGCACTGTGGAGTGTGTGTCAATCTCCACAGTAGTTAAAAAACAAACAAGCAATCCAGAACCATACGAAAACAACGGAGCCTCAGAGAGTGTACCGAGGAGTCCGGTTTGAGCCGCTTGAAGCCTGAGGTGACGGGATAGCCTCAATGGACGCAGACGGCGACCCGGTTTGACGCTAAAAACGACCACCCGCATAAGCCCTCGAGCACCTTCTACCCAGGTTTAACCTTGGAGTGACCCGTTATCTCTCCGGTCCTGGCTCTCCACCTGCTCTGCTGCCTGGGTTCCGGAACGCTCCGCCCTGGGGCCCAGAACGAGCCAATCAGGATGAAGAAGAGCCGCAGCGTGCTGTCGGTAACTGCAGAGGAGGTAGGGCATAAAAACAGAGTAACATTATTGAATAGAATATCAAGTGGTAAAAAGTTTGTGCAGCATGAATTAACGCTGCAATCCAATTTATTGTGCTGCTCCTTCTGGTGTGGCCACCTTGGCCACTGGGAGATAGGATAATATTGTTCAGTCATCTAGATGCAACAAACTTCTTATACTTTAACAAAGTGTATGCACCTCTCTAATAAAAGATGATTTATTTTTACAAGATCTAACGCCTCAATGATCGATGCTAACTGTCAGCATGTCGAGGCTCTGAGATTAGGCCTAACTTTTCAATTGGTGCCATGACCCGGATTTTGCAGGGGCAAAAGCGGTGCGATGAACTGAACCTAAGACCAGGTCAACAGGGGGAGATACCAAATTATTTTCACCCTTAAGGTCACTCAAACGGGGTGATTGTTAGATTAGGCCTCTGTGGCACAGATAATTACTGAAGATAAGTGACTCAGCCGTTGTTATCTCCGTGATCTCTAATTTGCTTGGCTTTCTTATCTATGGCACACATATCTAGCAGAATCCAGTTAAGACCACGGGGTCACACATTGTCACCCAAGCTTGCAGAAGAAAACACAAAACCAGCCAGTCAAACGTTTTGCATACACAATACGAAACCTTCCCAAAACACACAATGATTGCAAAAATATATTCCTAAATTTCATTCAGTATGGCTTCATGAGTGTAGGAAATGAGGTTGAGTCAAGAGCAAAATGGATCAAAATACAAATCAAACTCAAGTTACAATCAATTAAACCAATACAGTGTCAATATTTTAATGTGCCCTTTGGTCCATAACTTAAAAGCCCCTTGTATGATGTGTGTTTGAAGTGATTGTCTGCGGTGAACCCCCCCCTGTTCCATGCCATTAAAACTGAAACTCCCGCACACACACACCACCACCACCACCCCACACACACCGCACGCTCCAAGTAAAGGAATCCACTTAGATGATGCTTGGATGCTTTCATCCTGGATGAAGGACATGATGGCATGCATTATTCAAACAGGCTTTTATTGATCAAAGTCAGCCAGAGCCTTTTTGTGAGTGACTCTGGATATTTCGACGTGGGCATGCGTGCATGTGTGCAAGCATCCTTCCACATCTGCTCGGGACGACAACATGAAGCGCAGCATGGGAGTAACGCAGTACGGTTGCTTAGCAACTGGTACTGTCCCCCCCACACGCCGCTGTCCCCCCCCCCCCCCCCCGGTGTTTTGGTGCTACGGTGCTGCAGTGCAGATAATCTTCCAAGAGCGCCGTCTGTGGGGGCCTTATCTCTCTCTCCCTCTCACACACACACACACACACACACACACACACACACACACACACACACACACACACACACACAGACACACACACACAAGCAAGCAAGCACTGACATACAAGCTCACGCACTTGTTTCTTACTAGCATTTATGCTAAGTCCTGCGCATTTACACAGTTTATCCTTGTGTTGATTAATGTGCACTGTCCCAGTGAAATGAATAAAATAAATTAAAAAAAAGGTGGTCTCCTTGTCGTCTCACAGGGTGAGGACACTCACAAAACAGTTGACGGAGGAGAAAAGTCCGAGTCGCCACGCTACAGCCGTTCCTACACGTCTGGTGCCACGCTGGGGGCGGAGCTACGCAGGGGTAGGAGCAGGAGACTCTCGTCTAGTCTACAGGTGGTCAACGTATAGCACGGGTGCATCACGATGGCCTGGCAGCCTCGAAGGTTTTCTTTCAGCCACAAGAATATTTTCTCGGCTTCCACTCGTTCGTGCCACAGGTTCCCTGCTGGCTGCGCCCTCGCGACCGCACACGCTCGCCTGAGGTCCTTGGCAACGTGTCTCGTCCCACAACGCTGCCCCTCCGCATCCCGCCGCGCATCTCCATCACGCAAGCCGACGCTGACAGGTTTGCACGCGCCTTGCCACCTCCGCGTTCCTATTGCTTTTACAATTCTTCTCCAGCGTATCTCGTCTCATATATATTTTTTTTTAGTTATGAAGCAGAAAATGGCATCTCTCCCGCTCACACGCCGCTGGGCTCGCAGAGTCCAGGACTCACTCTCAACACGTCCTTCCCCCAGAGCCAGAGGAGGGAGTCCTTCCTCTACCGCTCGGATTCAGATTATGACATGTCGCCCAAGACGGTCTCGCGAAACTCCTCACTGGCGAGCGAAGGGTGAGACGATGAATGAGGTCGTGCATATACTGTACGTTATACACCACTCACAAAAAGGTTGGGATATTAGGCTTTTGAGTTAACTCTTCTCTCCGTTCAACTAAAATGTGAACTTTTGAATTCACACCTACAGTAGAACACTGTTGTTTCTTTCATGCCCGGTATGGCTAAAGGGTACAAGGTATTTAAAATGGACAGGAATCTGAAGAAACAAGGGTGGTCTAATCAGAGATGCTCGTCCTCTTTTAGACACACGGGGGAGGACTTCATCGTTACTCCTTTTGCTCAGGTGAGTAAAGCCTCAGTGAGGACATCATTCCATCAATACTGCACTTTAGTTTGGTGTGGTTTGGAACATGAAACTTTTAACAGCAGGGTGTATAGGCGGGCAAATAATGGGACGCCATAGCAGCGTGTTACAGTGTTACATTTTCTTTAGTTTGTCTTCCATTGTTTGGCGCATTTCTACAAGCACGCAAGCAAGGTGGCTCTAAATGGTATTTGTGTGATTATTATGTTCAAGGTTCTGGCCAGTCTGCGATCTGTGCGGAGCAATTTTACCATCCTTGCCAACGTCTCCACACCGACAGTCAAGTCAGTGTAATGGTTATTGGTATATACAGCAATTGCTGTGTCATTTTATTTTATTTCACTTTTTTTTGTTGCTTCAACAAGTTACAATAATATTTCGTTCTGTTGATGCATGACAATTGTTTGTCTCATTATAGTTTATTTTGTGCCCATTATTGTATTTTATTTATGTACACTACAATGTATTATACCGCACCTTTAACTCTATTCTTTTTTTTTTTTCCAATCCCACGCATGAAGTGCACACTGCCACTTACATTTTTGGTATGCCCATATATATATGACAACTATTTGATTTATTTCAACATATTACGCCACAACTCATCTACACGCACAAAGTGCATATGCATATTAGACACAACATTGGAGATACTTTTTCTAATACAACATACTACATTAAACAGTTGTGTATTGGCAGGAGGGATTAAAAAAAAAAGTGACAATTGCTAGCTGACCAACCACTGTGACCTCAGGAGGTCTCCGCTGGGTGGAGTATGTGTGAGTCCCAGGGCCACGTTGTCGGACCAGCAATACCAGCAGCTCGCCCTGGACACCCTGGAAGAACTAGACTGGTGTTTGGACCAGCTGGAAACTATCCAGACGCACCGCTCAGTCAGCGAGATGGCGTCCAACAAGGTAAGGGAGAGAATATTTACAAAGCATGTAGAGTAAATCCATGAATATAACAGGTTCAGTATTGAAAAACTAAGATCGTTTTCTTTCTGAACTGCCCTGGGACATGATGGCACAAGAAGCCATCACAACCATATCTCAATAGGAATGTAGTCGCCTAGACCAAGGCAGAGGTTCTAGTCCTAAAATGTACATCTAATATTATTGTAAGCTGCTTTTAAAAAATAAGATTTTAAAACTGTACATAAATAGTAATTGGATTAAAATGTATTGCAACCAAGTTTTAAAAAAAATGTAACAAAAGAATTGTTTGAAAATAAATTCTGCTCAAATATTTTATGTATTTTGCAAAAAAATTAAATAGAATTGAACTGTATGTAACAAATGTACTAAACTAGATTAAAAAGAACTCTGCTAATTACTGTAACATTGCACGGGTTGCCCGTTTAATTCAGCAATTCTTTACATATACCACTAGAGGGAGCCACACTTTTGAGAATCACTGTGCAACCATTTAAAAAAATATACAAAATCAAGAGGAGCATTACTGAATTTTTCGCTACTTGTGGCAGCAGGTATTACTGTCAAAATTTTTGGCAATTTATCAAATGTCAATATTGTCACGTGCTAAACATACAAAGTCGTCGAAATTAAGTTCCTCACATTCCCAGGCTTGTAAGCAAGGTACAAAAACAAGACATGGTCAGGGGTAAAGTAAAGCGTACTGACACAATAGCAACAGCAGATAACAGCAGACAACAGACACACCGTGTGAACATGTGTTGCGATGTGATGCTACAGTTCAAGAGGATGCTGAACAGAGAGCTATCCCACCTTTCCGAGATGAGTCGCTCCGGTAACCAGGTGTCAGAGTACATCTCCAGCACCTTCTTGGGTGAGTGAAACCATATTCCTATTAGGGCAGAACCCAATATATGCAATTTCACTGTGTGTGTGTGTGTGTGTGTGTGTGTGTGTGTGTGTGTGGGTGTGTGTGTGTGTGTGTGTGTGTGTGTGCAGACAAGCAGAACGAAGTAGAGATCCCTTCCCCAACTCTGAAAGACAAGCCGATGAGTCAAATCAGCGGCGTGCGAAAACTGTCGCACAGCTCCAGCCTCTCCAGCACTTCAATGCCTCGCTTCGGGGTCAACACTGACCATGAGGACGAGCTCGCTAAGGTCTCGCCGAACCCTTTTTGTGTTTCCTACATGGCCAAGAGTGGGATGACTCAATCTCACTGTCCGCATAAGCGTCAACAAAGAGGGGGGAGATTGCAGTTTTAATACTGCTAGCTAGATTTGCCTATAGCGCCACCTCACCAATCCCTCCTTGCCCCAAGAGTCCCTTGACCAAAGCGGCCCCTCACTAACCGTACAAAAGCAAGATTCTCAAACATGGACATGATGAAAACGCGTACTTGTGATAAATAGTCACAGACAACGCATTGCCAGCTTCAACAAAACAGCAGCGCTCGCATTAGCGGTGGAAGTTAAATAAGCTAACATGAACCACGTCTGCTACTTTGGTAGCATGATTTATTTGAAATGAGGTGTTACTATTACACTAAATGTTATCGGTTTGACGTTTCGTTTGTTTGGATTAGTTTCAAAATATATTACAAATGTAGTTGCGGATTGTGGAAACTGTTTTTCACCATTTGAGGTTTTCTGATTTGTTTTGATGATGGCTAAAACAGTGCTCGGAGATGTGCTTGCCCCTCCTCAACTATACAATAACTTGAATGCCTTTGTTTTTGTCAGTGGTTATCTGGCGCAGTTGTAACTTAGTTATTATTACTATGCCCGAGCTTTTAGCTTGCAAGCTAGCTGGTGACGAGCACTTCTTATCGAGACATGGAAAAGCCCGGTGAGACATATTCCATCACTCAGAAGCTTTAAAGAGATATATTTTGAAGATATAAAGATCATCTGTGGAAATTTTCTTGAATAAGGTTGTATATTTTGCATGTCTGTGTGTGTATACTTTGAAGCAGGAGTTGGAGGAATTGAACAAGTGGAGCTTCAACATATTTCAAGTTGCCGAATTCTCCAACAACAGACCACTCAGCTGCATCATGTACACAATTTTCCAGGTAGTCTGACCAAGGGTGGGGTTGGCCATTGGGAATTTCGGGAACATATTAATTTTCCCAAAATGGGCGGCGTATTTCCAGGCCTGTCCTGAGCATCACAGCCAGCCTATGTTTAGTTTGACAGTAAACCTAAACTAGGTGCAGCATTAAACAGCTTGAAGCGTCTTATTGTTCACTATTTGCCAATCCGCTTCTTGTTTTCAAGTGAGTTGAGTTGAGCGGTTCAGTGGTTTGCCTCGTATCTCAAGGCACCACTATATTTTTAAAATTTGACCTGCCCAGGAGCGAGAGCTGCTGAAGACCTTCCGCATTCCCGCTGACACCTTCGTCACTTACGTGATGACACTGGAGGACCATTACCATGGCAACGTAGCGTACCACAACAGCCTCCACGCCGCCGATGTCACCCAGTCCACACATGTGCTCCTCTCCACTCCGGCCCTCGACGTATGTTACATTTGAAAAGAAAAAGAGGAACATGAGTTGTAATGTCGCTTCAAAAACGTTAGTAAAGTCATTGTTCCTTACTTGCTCTTCTCCCCCAGGCTGTCTTCACTGACCTGGAGATCCTTGCTGCCCTCTTTGCCGCCGCCATCCACGACGTTGATCATCCTGGAGTTTCAAATCAGTTCCTCATCAACACCAGTGAGTCCCTCATATAAAGAAAATGTGATTCAAAAATCTGGGGTCTTCAAGTAACTGTGATTGCGATGTGTCCAGACTCTGAGCTGGCACTTATGTACAATGACGAGTCGGTCCTGGAGAACCACCACCTGGCTGTTGGATTCAAGCTCCTGCACCAGGACAACTGTGACATCTTCCAGAACCTCACCAAACGGCAGCGGCAGAGCCTTCGCAAGCTCGTCATTGATATCGTCAGTACTTCATTGCTATGATGTGCTATAATATGGTTATGGTGGCAATGAAAATTTCATCTATTTTCTTTTTTTCATTCCCAGGTTTTGGCGACAGACATGTCCAAACATATGACCCTACTGGCAGACCTGAAAACCATGGTGGAGACAAAGAAGGTGACCAGCTCTGGCGTGCTCTTACTGGATCACTACAATGAGCGCATTCAGGTGGGTTGCCAGACGTTTTCGTTTTTTGTTGCTACTAGTAGCTATGGAGTAACAATTCAACCACAAAATTGTGTAAAAATTACGTGCATAAATTCTATATATCATTATATGAAATGTAATTATACATAAAATACATCCTCCTCACCAGAGACGCTCATTTTATGAAATATATTAACATGTGCAGATGACTATATGTTTTCTGGTCAAACATAGCTTGCTTGCTCTGACCAACCAATCAGAGGATGGAAAAAATGATATCGTGGGCCAGCTAGATGGCCCTGTGAGGAAAATTTGAAACTGGATTGTTTAAAGAAACAGTCCCATTGCTAATCTAGTTCAAGTTACATGGAGCAGCACGAGTGAATGTGAAGGCCTTCGGCAGATTACTTTAGCATGGCAACACGGAGAGGCTGGAATCTGCTTGGACTAAAAAAAAATCTAACACCTCCATACAGTACTGGGAGAAACGCTGCCAAAAGAACTTTTGGCAATACACTGGTGCAATTTAATGGACCAATTATTGGGACTTAGATTGTAAATGTGGGTGACTGTTGCAGGTCCTAAGGAACATGGTGCACTGCGCTGACCTGAGCAACCCCACCAAGACCTTACCCTTGTACCGACAGTGGACAGAGAGAATCATGGAGGAGTTCTTTCGCCAGGGCGACAAGGAGAGGGAGCGCGGCATGGAGATCAGCGCCATGTGCGACAAACACACCGCCTCTGTGGAGAAGAGTCAGGTGTGGATTTGTTCTTTTTACCCGAGGAATGCAAAAGTACTCGTACTGTTCAGGATCTTTTAAGTCCACAAGAACCCAATCAATCCAGATCTTAACTGCGATTGACTTGACATTTTTATTACATTTCTCATCATCCACAGAGGGTGAAAAAAAAAAGAAGCCAAATTTGACAGTTCACAGAAATAAATAAATACTCAATAAAAGTAGATACCGGAAAAATGGTTGTACTTTGTTACTTCCCACCACTCCTTTGATCACATCTTGAGTTAGTTGCATGCAAGTGTGTATTCACATTCCTCTCGCTCTTCAGGTGGGGTTCATCGACTACATCGTGCACCCACTGTGGGAGACGTGGGCCGACCTGGTGCACCCCGACGCCCAAGAGCTTCTGGACACACTGGAGGAGAACCGTGAGTGGTACCTGACCACCATGCCTCAGTCTCCGTCACCTCCCCCGGACAGACACTTGCAGCATGACCGCTTCCAGTTTGAGATCACGCTGGAGGACCTGGAACACAACAACCACAACCACGTTCACACGAGGATCGGCGGCGGCGGTCAGAGAGCCCCCTGCCTTGAAGGGCAAGCCGAGAGTGAGACGGAGGACGAGCGGAACCACAACAGGGAGCAGAACGGCGTGAGTGATGAGGATGAGGAAGCGGGTGAGAAGCAAGAGGAGGAGGTGGAGGAGGAGGAGGAAAACCTCACAGGGGATCGTGTGGAAGACGAGACGGGTGACACTGAAAAGGAAGAGGAGGGAGAGGATGAGGAGACCAAAGGAGGGGAGGATGAAGATAATCTGGATGAAGATGGAGCTCCGCAGGAGGGAGAGGAAAATGTGGACCCAGAGGAAACGAATGAGGATGCGGGAATCGGGAATGTAGAGGAGGAAGATGGAGCGGAGGGAAATGTTGACGAAGAGGTGGAAGGTGAAGCAGCGGAAAATGAGGAAGAGGAGGAACATGAGGGGGATGTTGGAGAAGAGGAGGTGGAGGCAAATGACGTGGAAGAGGATGGGAACGCTGAGGAGGAAGGAGAGACTGAGGAGAAAGAAGAGCAGGAAGACGTTGAAGAGGAGAAAGATGGGGAAGGAAACGTGGAAGAAGAGGAAAGTTAATGGAGCATACGAAGCAAACAGGGTCAGAAGATGCAGGTGAAAACGCGCATTAGGCGAGAGCCAGTCTGTCACTCGCCCGCGCTGTCCACGTGGACACGAGCGAGCTGAGACGTCAGCAGCAGCGGAGTGGATTCGTGGGCAGAACCTCTGCGGCAGGCTGCGGCACAGCAAGCCGTTCTTACGGACCTTTGGACAAAAGGGTCACAAAATAACACATCCACGCAAATAAGTTCGTGCCTGTTCTCCCGAGATCACCGACTATACTTGCCATCGTCTTTGTTGTCCACGACCAAGGTCCCACCGCTCCCGACTCGGCCGAATAGAAACAGGCAAAAAAAAAAAAAAAGTGCAGAGAAAGTCAAGTCTGTCGTCTTGTGTTCACAAGTGTAAAGTGTGGCAGTACTGCACTGCCGAAAAGAAAAAACAAAAACAGTGTCATCACTAATGATTTGCAGGCAAGTTAATGACACCGGGTAATACTCACTCAGTAACCCGCCCACAAGGGGTTGCCAAGGTGACCCACAAGCGGAAACGAGCGGCAGCTCGTCGTCCGTGAAGCAATGGATTGTGGGTCCGGGCTCAAGGGTGTGATGGTCTTCCACAAGCCAACGTTTTTTTTTTTTGTAAAAAGACAAGTTTTGGGCACTTTATCACCTCTGTTACATAAATGTACATAACAAACATGTATTTTAATCTTCTGATGTCATAAAAGAAATACGATCAATCGAGTTGAACTATTTTTACCTTTTTGCCAGTGACTTACAAAAGTCGAGTTAAGAAGCAATTCCAAGTTCAAAGCAATTGAATTTTTGTCGTTGTAAAATAATCGCATCTACAATGTCATTAAATATAATTGTGTGGAACTGTTTGACAAGAAAAAAAAAGAATATATGTCAACATTTTTTAATATGAGCGTTCAAGCAAGTATGGATATAAAATGAGAGGGGTCCTGGCTGGTCCAACAATAAAATAGCCCACTGAAGGAAAAAAACAACAGAGCCTCTACTCTTCGAAATACAAATGTTAAAAAAAAAAAATTTAAAAAGCAACATGATTTTGAATTTTATTTTATGGCAAAATTAACATAAAAATTGTCAGCAGGTTAATTAGTTGATTTGATTATTGATTGTATTTTTTTTTGTTTGGCTAATTGACAAATATTGCTTTCCCGAGTCAGCATTATTTACCATGTGAACTGATTAAACAGTTTCGACGGTGAACACTGATCTGGTCTTGTTTTATTCACAGTTAGTTATTCATGGAGACAGATAAGGCTTCAGATGCAAAATACAAAGTACATAATTGGCACGATGGAGCCTGAATAATTCCAACAACACTAAATGACACAAAAAAAATGCATAGATAAAATGGTATCTTTTTTTTTCTTTTTTTTTTTTACCAAAAAACAAATCAGCACCTGCAGTTTCAGGACTAATTTCAAAGCGCCCTTCTTATGACATGATGGAGAATGTTACAAAAGTATTGAAAAGCGTGACAGGCCGAATAAGGGAGAAAAGTCTCAACATTTGGATGCATATAAAAGTCCCCATTGTGATTTTGAGGCTCTTGAAGCTTACGAGCCCGTGAGCGTGTTGGTTTGAGAGAGACGGAGTGGGAGTGAATGTGTGTTTGTGTGTCTGGATGCGCGTGGTGTTTTCAGCAGCCAATCACAGACGTCCAGTCCGGCAAGTTTTGTATCTCTCCGATGTCATTCAGCTGTTGGCGTCCGTGTGTCAGAGTGAGCTTGTAGCGCAGGCGCATTTTACACTGAGGAGGCAAAGATCCAGACATGAAATGAGCCCGGCACGGTGCACAACTCCGCCACGGTTGAGCAATTATTGCGGAACTCTGTGGAGTCGTTTTTAATGTGTCCAGTCTACCAACTGAGAAATATGGAGAAAAATATTGCATTTACCATATCTTCCGCACTACAAGCCACACCTTAAAAGCATTAAATTTTCTCAAAAGCTGACAGGTGTGCCTTATAACCTGATGCGCTTTGTGTATGGATCAATATTCTGATTTCTCAGACGAAGTATTTTAAATGTTCTTTCTGTAAAGCGCCAATTGTGAAAGCTCTATAAAGCTGTATTGTATTGTATTCCCTTTAGCGTAGCTCCATCTAGTGGATGCATAACACAACCGCAGCCACTATTGTAGCTTCTATTCTATGCGCCCTGTCATGCGGTGCACCCTAGATATGAAAACAGTTCATTGAAGGTGCGCCTTATACTCCGAAGTGCCTTATAGTGCAGAAAATACGGTACTCAAATATTTTTGGTGTAATGCCACTATAATAGCAGATTTAGGCAAAGGAAGCAGGAAATTAAAATAAAAAGTGGGCATGGCTGAAGAAAGAAAGGGGCTAATGAAAGAAAAAGGCAGCAAAAGATGGATGGAAGGATACAGGCCATGAAGGAAGGCAAAACAGCAAGTTTAAGTGACTGAACGAAGGGTGGAAGGATGCATGAATACCAAAATCGGCTGTGATGGAGAGGAGGAAATGAAGGAAATAGAAGAGGAGGTTGAAGCGAACGAAAAGACGCTTGAATAAAAAGAAGGTCTGAAGGAAGGATGCCAGAAAGAGCCCTTAAAATTTGATTAAAAAGAATTCAATAATGTTATTGTAAAAATGCAGCTGTCCAAATAAAGGCCTTGCCCCCCAAAAATGCCTCTGCCAACACGAGGAACTACGATATCATCTCATTGGCTGACGAGTTCATCATTGTATCTCAAAAACGAAAACCAAAAAAAAAAGATAAAAACTAACCTTGTGCGGATTAGCTAACAGGATGACCTGGGCAATGGCAGGCGGAGGCTGCAGGGGGTTGTATGGTGGCAGATGTGTTGTTGATGAGGGTTGAAGTTTCACCGACATCGTCTGCAGGACAAAAAAACAAACAAACAAACAAAAAAAAAAACAGGAAGTTGACAGTAGGCTCATCACTTGATGACTTTGGTGTTTGAGGTGTTTTCACCTTCGGGACAGCAGCTTGAAACACGAAATGTTTCACGTCCAGGGAGGAAGTGTTCACCGCGGATATGACGACCACGGCGACGTCAGGATGACCGGGAGGCGAGTCCCTGGTGAAATGAAGCGAGATGCGAATGCCGCCCTGGTCGTATATGGTGATAGGCTTCAGCTGACCTGTGAAAAAGAAGGAGAGCAAGACTTACATCAACATGTGGGGCATCAAGAAAAAGACAAAAAGAAAAGACTCGCACATATATCGTGAAAAGAAAAAAAGAATGACTGATTAAGTGCAGGTCAGTTAAATACACTTGACATACAGTTGAATACATTTTTTTTTCAGTTCGATTTCTAACTGTTTAATACTTGTGACCTGTGGCCATCTGTCCGCTTGAAAAATCAAACGTGACCCTTCAGCGCCCAAGCCAGCTATTGACGTACTAGACTTGATGGTTTCCATGGGAACAAAGATATTTTTCAGCACATGCTGCGGACAAGAGCCGTCTTCCGAAGGTGCCGGAGGGTGAGGGGGACTTGAGTCAGATCCTGAACTTGTGAACTGTTGATCCTGTGACCTGACCGGAAGCAAAAAAAAAAAAAAAGTGACAACGGCACAAAAAATTCAACTTGTCATGTACAGAAAAGTGTCATGTCTTGGTTTCGTCACCATATGTTGTTTTCATTTGATGAAGAAGAACCATTATCCCCGCATCCACGGGCTCTCAGCAAGGGGCCCCTTTGCTCATTTGTTGGATCGACTGCTCCGTTGAGCTGTGGGAAAGATATGGATTTTTTCACCCAACAAACATTACATTAAAGCCTTGAACTTCCTTGATCAGTCCCGTTCTAAATCTCACCTGCATCAGCTCGTCACAATACGACTTTGGAGACAAAAGAAGTAACTCTGGAAACAAAAGGGGATGACAACGTTACACGTGCGTCAGTGGCTTGAGTGCATAAGACTGTTAAAGGCCACACTCAGAGGGACGTTGCCTGAGCCAGTAACAAATTCCACTGACTATAACCTGCGAGTATAGGACATCTTGGACTGGGTACTGTTCGCCTCGATTCTTGAAGACAACATCTTGCGGGAAGTGACTCCAAAACCGGTCCAATTTAAAGTTTACAAAGTATAACAAATGGAATCAGCAATATATCAGGACAATTTACAGCGCTTGGGTTTCAATGGTCAAATGGTTAATGACATGTCATGATAGCACTTGAGCAGGGGTGTCAAACTCATTTTTGTCATGGGCCACATTTTAGTTACTGTTTCCCTTGGAGGGCTGTTATGACTGAAAACATTAAAAAAAAAAAAAAGTCAATGATAATGGTTCATTCAACTATTGTTTAAGTTATGTCTCTAATGTATTAAATATGAGAATTTTAAATTTTGGTAGAGATTTTAGTAAGCATCATGGAAGTTGACATGTTAGATTTGCTTTCGCGGGCCACATAAAATGATGTGGCGGGCCACATCTGGCCCCATGGCCTTGAGTTTGACACCTGCGCACTAGAGGGTGAATTTGGGCCCCCTTGTGGACACATTTAACAGGGTCTTCAAGGATGGTGAACAGTGGAGAAAGTGAGAAATGATCACGGGTATTCAAAGAAATGTGCAGCAAATTGCCCGGTTGACTTCAGTTGGCTTCGCCACAGTTCGGGAGAGGAAAAAAATGCGGCCGTGCCTGATTGCGGAGTGCTCTGCAAAGCCGCAGAGTTGCAGGTGCTTTCCCTAAAAGAGGAGAAGACAGGCGAGGAGGAGGCGAACGACAAAGGCGAGTCAGCTTTCCTGTCTGTCTGAGGCGAGTCCAGAGCCGAGAGGTCGATGAGGTGGTAGCTCTTGATCTCTTGGGTCCTTGTGGGAACTACAATAAGAACATTCGGTCATACAATCAAAAATAAAATTACATCAGCAAATCACTCATTTGTGTGGGCTCACTCTTATTTTTTGGCGTCACCGCTTCTTCACTTTTACTTCTTCGGTTACACTCTCGCCCCCCCGTTCGCTCCTTGTAGGCGTTCACCGCCAGCGTGAGTTCGTCGTTGGCCGCCAGGATCTGCGTCAGTGCCTCGTCGTCATCCACCGTGTCGCTAGCCAGCCGGAAAAGGCTCGGCCTCAGCCGCTCGCAGCTCTTATACAGGTCCTGAAATATACAAAACATCATTGTTCAATATTAACAGTCGGTAAAAAAGGAGCTGATGTTTTGGAGCGGAATTTTCGATTCTTTTGGACTGACGACTGATACCCTCATGGGGGGTACACACTAAGCAGCCAGAGATAAATACAAAAGCCGTGACAAAGATTCGAATTTTTAAAAAATGCTAACACTCGCCTTTTATTCTCAGAATTTGGATTCTGTTCTCGTGTTGCATTGTGATGGAGAAGATTAGTAATGTTACCTTTAATTCATCAGTGGGCTGTAAAGGTGCTTCAGTGTGCTCATCCAACATCTCTCTGAGCTGCTTGGTGCTGCTTTCCACCGCCTTTAGAGTGGTTTCACGCTTGGTTGCTTTCTCCGCTTTCTCCTCCTCCTAACATACACACAGAAAAATGATTCGTTGTTTAACAAAAAAAAAAAAAAAAAAAAAAGAAAAAGTGACAATGCGCTGTATGGCATCCATCCTTCGTATGAGGTCTCACCTCTTTCATTGTGCTTTTAATGAGCCTGTTAGCAGTCTCCAAGTCTTCGGGACGTCGGCTTTTTAATAATCTGGCAAGGAGCTGGAGGAAAGAAAATAAGAAGGGCGACTATTGTAGTGATGGCGGAAACCGCACACAGCACATCAATGTTCACCTACACACCGTCGCCTTGTCCTCTTGGTCAAACACGGAGTCGGTGGCTCGTTGAGGTGGAGGGGCCATGATGACTTTATCTGGTAGCTTGGGATCCTTTTTGATGACCCCTAAAAAAAAGGCACATTGTAATAGAGGACGCTTAAATAAAAAAAAAAAAAAAAATTAAAAGTGAGGCAACTTCAGAGTACCTTGTTTCTTGAGCATGGAATAGGCGTCCTGAATTTTGGTTTCCTCTTTGAGCCACTGTGTCCAACCGTAAAGAACCTGAGTCAGCCTATCTTTAACCGTCTGGGCAGTCCACGAACCAAAGTACTGTACAGAGGAAGTTGAGTGAGTCAAAACAAAACTGACAGAAGAACCACATTGAGAGCTGAATGCCCTGAAGTCAGACTTCATTCATTTTTGATGTGTGGAGTTTTAAAGTGAACTTTTAACTGGGAATGGCAATACTTAGCTTGACGCAAACAGTTGGCCTCTCTTGTTTGCTAGGGCTTAATGATTGTGATAATTGTGATATTTTTTTTCCCCCTTCAATATTGCGATTACCATTGAATATGCAATTTTTTTAAAGATTATCTTCCATGTATTTTTTTGAACACAAACAATAAATTAATCTGCATTACAATAAATAGTATCAGATGTATGTGTGTGCTAAAATGAAGTCAAATATGGCATAAATTAACAGGAAAAACAATTTGTTTACAAATAATACATGGGAGTTCCAAATTGCAGCCTTTGTGATTTAAAAATTGCATTCCGGTACATTGCGATGTCGATTTGAATTTGATTAATTGTCCAGCCCTACAATATGCCAAAGTAGATGCTTGTTGTCTTTTTGCACCCGTCATTTAATGCTCGAAAATCATCATATCACTGTTTATATCTGGAAAAACTGCGAAATTGGATCACTCGTAATTCAATGTACCGCTGTACTTCTATTTCCAAGAATTTGCTTTTTTAAAAAATGCTTTCAAAGAAAGGAACTCAACCAGCATCCCAAAACGCATTGTTTCCCACCTTACGGGTTCGACCGACATCCGAGCACCAGCCTCTTACCTTTGGCGACAACACTTTGATGAGCTCGTTGAGGAATCGAAACTTAGCTGCTTCGCCGCGGAACCTCTTGCCACAGTTGTTCATGCACGCCTCGAGAACCTGGGAACAAAGCAGCCACGAGAGCCGTGTCGCTGGATGTCACATGAGGAGGGGGTCAGAAGATCCAGCGAGTGACACTTAAAGTGGAACGACAGCGTGGTGTACGGATGGCCAACAAAAATCCAGCGTATTTCCCCCAACGTGTGATACAAGTTAGTCGCGCATTTTTATTCTCAGGCCCATTGCTATGTAGAAATAGAAGGCAAGGGTTCCATGTGTGCCGGAAACTCTCCTTCCCATATCCCATTGAAACTTCAGTGTCCGCATGTGAACAACAACGTCGATGATATTAGGTCTTTCCAGATAATATCGTTTATGCAATTTTGGAAAAAAAGGAGGCATTTATTTGTCTTAAATAGATGATGAACTCTGAGAGTAACTGGGGCGTACAATCTTTGCACAAATAGCCTCCAACGCATCATTGTGATGCCATCTCCATAGTAATTCTAAACAACCCGCTGAAGTGCTTTACATCCCAAAATACGCTGGGATTTTGGTTACTTACAGTCAGAGCTTGAAGAGCCTCTTTTTCTTGAGGAGACTGGATTTTATGAGCAAGAAGGCTGAGAGCGACCTGTGGACTGACATGAACAAAATAAGATAGACCATACTGTCAAATGTAGCAGACATGCCAACAGTATTAAAAACAGCAACAGTTAGCCTTTCCAAATATCGGATTAATCAAATCAAATACATTCAAAAGACTTTATTGTCATTCTATCAATAAAAATGTAAGAACAATATGTAAGGCTGCCGTAGTGGTACGAAGTTCACTTTTGTTTTTTCCCCATCTGTTGTATGCATTCACATGCTCTATCATTTCACTTGTTCAAAATGTCGCTCTTAGTTGTTCAAAGGCGCTGGTCGAGCACTGTTAAGCTCAGGACGGAAGCCTCAATGTCGTGGTGGATAGAAAACCTACCCACACAGATTGATGACTGAGAATCTACACAGACATGTCAAAGAAGAACGTCGGTGGGATTTGCTCCTCACACATGGATGGGAAGTCATAACAGCAATATGACAACATGACTGTGAGGAAACATGGTTGCGTTTCAACCGTGAACCTGAATTTGCTGTGTTAAAAAGTTCAACATCAACAGCAGTTTAGACCTCATTTCAATACTCTGCTCACCCATCAGTCTCCTGGTTGACCGATTGAAAGAAGGCCTGGATGCAGTCCCATCTGTCCTCCTGGTTGGTCGGGTCCGTGGCCCGATCTGGACAAGAGCAAAGTGTTCAAACGTGACACTGAGGTGATCATAGGGCAATTATAACTCAGTCAAAAAATAGATTATCATTCCCTCCAATGATAATGATATTGCATTTGATCAAAAATTGAATACAGATTTATGTAAAATATTTTACATTTAACAAGACACATTTATTAACGGTGTTGATGTTTCTAATCATGTATTATATGATTGCTACTCTTGGTCTTAAATTATTGTGAATCAGTGACGAACAGTCAGTGCAACATATGATGAGATGGTGTTGAATGACCAAGTGACACTGCTGACTCAAGTGACAACATTGTTTCATTTTATTTGTCATTTCAAAACACGGTGGCCCGGTGGGGTTGACCAGTTAGCACGTCTGCCTCACATAACCCGGCCCAGCAGGAATTCGCCAGAATGTCCAGGTTACTTACTCCAGGCCTGGTCCAGGGAATGTTGTTATTTTTATACTCATTTGGCTTTAACCTTGTTTCAGGCAATCAGATGCCAGTGATATTTGCATTTTTTATGTTAAAAAACACAGCCTAATAGAATGAAAGAAAATAAATTTTGAGTTGCGTCTTGTTTTAAGGTGAGTTCACCATTCTGGCAAATTCTACTTCTATTAATAAATCACTTGCTCGAGAAAATGTTTCACACATTAGGCTCTTGTCTTAAGTTAGTTCTTGGGTAAATCGCAGTTACTACTTTACCAGTGTTGTTTATGGGAGGGGTCGGGGGGGAATCCAATTTAGTGGTTTAACTCTTGTTCATTTCAAGCGAGTAAAAACACAATTCACCAAAATTGGAATTTAACACATGGGCATTGCTCTCTAACAGAAACAAAATTACTTTCGAAGACATCGAGTACACAGCCATTCGCCCGTTACCTAACTTGAGTTGAAGTGAGATCTGATTTCACATAGTCGTGTTATATTTAGAGGTATCTTGAACTTATTAATTGGGTATGATGATTGCCTTTGACAAAATCTTTCAAAAACAAAAATCAACGTTCACCCGTCTTTCGCGACCACAAAGTGCACGCGTTAAATGAACCAACTTCCTGTTACAAGCGTCTTCTGTTTCCACCAACATTTTCACGACAACACAACTATTGATAATAAACACGTGAGATAAATCAAATTGCTCAGGTTGTTCGTGGCAATCAAATAGTCAAATAAAAACATGCTTTACAGGGATGTCACGAGACGCGACGTGCGCAGAGCAGAAGCCATCAGGGGATACGTTCACTGACATTGCGTCAAAACTGAAATGCGAAGCGCCAAGGGAACCAAAGTCAACCAAAACTGAGTCGATAAACCTTCGAGTGCGGTCTACTCACTCAGCAATAAGTCTAAAGTTGGATGGCTGTCGTCGTTCGCCATAGCCGCTTTTCTGTTGGTGCACGTCCGGTAGTTGTCGACGTGTGTGAGAAGTGTCACTTGGGGAAAAGCGAAGATGTCAAACTGGCTGGCCCGCGACGACACGTGACACTTAGACCGCATTCATTCGTCACACGTTGTGTACACACACAAGTTGGCCTACTGTGCAAGTCTTTCCTTCGTACACAATCTATATTGAATTTAACCACTACCTGAACTTTTAACTATCCAGTACAGGGTCCTTGGTTTGCGAAGGAGTTGCGGTGGGGACGCCTATGTACGTAAGCCGGAACGCGCCGTAGTCTTTGACTATCCTAATGTAAGGCAGTAGTGAAGTCCAATAAATACATGGTCGGCGAACTGAACAAAAAGTTGCCACGGAAAAATTAAGGATGCTCAGAAAGAAGGTAGATAGGAGCCAACAAAGGAAGGACACCAAAGAAGGATATAGGGTGAAAACAAGGATGGTTGGTATGAAAGGATGCGAGATAGTGAAGAGAGAACAAAGGATGTGTGAAAGGAAGGAAATCGGGAGGAAGGATGGAAGGAAAGAAAGGGATGGGTCAATGAATAAAAGGAAGGACTGACAGAAGGAAAAGTGCAAGAAAGGAAAGAATGGAGGAAGTAAAGTAGGCATGTAGGAATTAGTTGGAAGTGTGAAAGGTAGCATGGAGAGCAGTGATTTTAGGGGAAAGAAGCGATGAGGGGAAAAATGTATGTATGAAAGGAAAGTTGAATAAGGAAGGATGGAAGGTCATTTGGCAGGGATGACAGCTGGTCGCAAGGAAAGAATGAAAGGAAGAAGGAAAGTTAAAGGACGTAAGAATTAGGGTTGATGTATGAAAACAAGGAAAGGAGGAGTAAGGATGGATGCAAGTAAGAAAGGGAGGATAGACGGCAAGGAAGATGGGAGAAATAAATCTGGAATTATAGTTGTTGGTACGTGAATGAGTGGTGAACAGTTCAGGGTGTACCCCGCCTATCGCCCGAAGACCACTGGAATAGGCTCAGCACGCCCACAACGCTCGTGAGGATAAAGAGGTTCGGATGATGGATGGATGGATGGTATGAAAGAAAGGAAAATGTAATTAAAGAAGATAAGATAAGATAAGCCTTTATTTGTCCCGCAATGGGGAAATTTACAGAAAGAAGGGAGGGAGGATGGTAGCAAGGAAGGAACCAAGGATGATTAAAGTAAGGGTGATAGGTCAGAAGGAAGAGAGAAGGCAGGAATAAAAAAAAATGATGGAAAAGTGAGGAAGGAATGAAAGGACAGAAGAAAGGAAGGGATGTTAAGAATTAGGGGTGGATGTATGAAATGAAGGAAGGAAGGAAAGAGGGGCGGATGAAGGACAGAATGGAGGAAAGGAGAAGAGGTAACCAAGAATGTATGAAAGGAAGGATAAAAATAAGAAGAATAGATGAAAAAAGGAGGGAGGGGACATGAAAGGAAGCACACAAGGAAGATGCAAAAAAAAACCCAATTAAGTCACTGCATACAGTCCACATCCATCCATCCGTTTTCTTCCGATTATCTGAGATCACATCACGGGGCAGCAGCTTGTGTAAGAAGCTCAGACTTCCCTCTCCACAGCCACTTCGTCCAGCTCTTCCAGGGGATTCGGAGACGTTCCCAAACCAACCAGGAGACAGTCTGTCGAGTCCAGTGTGTTGAGTCGTCCCCGTGGCCTCCTCCCGACGGGAGGCGCCCAGGAGGCCTCCTGATGAGATGCCCGAGCCACCTCATCTGCCAATACTACTCACACACTAGTCACATGCTCCTTTTAGTTCCTTTGTTGGTTTCGGGCAAAGGCAGCTCCATTCCTGATTATATCTTACAGCTTCAAAACTGCAATTTGTATACACTCGTGACTGACTACTGTAAACAAGCCGCGGCAAATTGCAAACACACGAGTTCACTGTTGCACGTGAAAGATGACAACTTTGCTACTTCAATCAGCAATTTGGTTTGCTTGCGTCACAGTCAGCGTCAGTCAAAAGCTCTGACGCCAAAGTCTCATCCTGGAGAAAGGACCTTGTGGCTGTTCCGGAATAGCTAACTGGTCTCATCAAGCAGAAGAAGCTTCTGCAATCGATGGATGGTCTCCGCAGGCCCCAAAGCCACCATCATTTCCACGACGCTGGGTCCTTGCTGTAAGGCCAGGAAAAAGCAAATGAAAACATGAATACCAAACATAATCAATTAAAAATCCACTTCCTCTTTGCGTTTTGTCACTCTGGCAGCTGAGTAAGGGTAGGAATTCTATGATTGTCATCAGAAATGCGTTATCTAAGGGCAACCTTGAATGGGAACTAGACTTTTAAGTGTCTGTATAAGCATACAGTCACCCCTTGCTATATCGCGGACCACTTTTTACGGGTCAGTACATTGCCAATATTCTTTTTTTTTCTTTCTTTTTTTCAACTGTATTTTCCTACCCGCACTGTTTACTGCAGACTCAGGTCGCAATAAGTGTGAGCTAGGAACAAACAAAATTAGTTTCCACATTCCAAAAATGATGTTAGGTTTATTGGTCATTTTCAATTGTCCTCAGTTGTGAATCTGAGTGTGAATGTTGATTTGTCTATGTGTGCCCTGCAATTGACTCGGAACCAGTCCAGAGTGTACCCCGCCTCTTGCTTGAAGTCAGCAGGCTCCACTGGAGCTCACTCGGGACACATAATGAGTATAAGCAGGAGAGAAAATGGTGGAAAGGATGTCTCCTTTCAAGCCATGGCAAGAACAAAAAAAAATAGCAAAACTAACATATCTATGTTTTGTACAAACGTGTTAATTTACCTGCAGTCCGCTGAGAGTCAACCGTAAAAGCCTCATCACGTCTCTGTATTTGGTACTCTTGGTCTGCTTGGCCAGCGTCTTCAAATCTTTGCTAATTTGATCCACGGCAGCTGCCTCTCCTCGTTCTTCTGCTAATCTGAAAAGATATTCGCGTCACTTTGCGAGAGTAGTGCTACTCCTAGGTGAGCTTGCTATTAAAAGCGCATACTTAAGCGCCATTGTGGCGATCTGCCGGGCCTCCGTGGAGAGTGCTGCCACCTGTTGACTGGAAAAGGAAGGACGCACCCATAGGTACGAGTAAACAGGACTTACTAGCTCCCGCAGAGAGGATATGTGACCCTGCAGAGAGGTAGAGAATAATTTCAATATGACTGGAAAACCAACTTTGCGGAACAGACACAAGTTGAACATTTTATCTTGTGGTGGTGGTCAGCAAGATCGTATGGCAAGAACAAACAGGTTACCTTTCGTAAGTGTAGAACCCGCCTGATATAATCATCATGCAGGACGTCTTCATCCTGGATCTCAGAAATGTAGGCCTGTCTGATTTGTTCCTGAAGATCCTTTATCAGAAGATTACATTGCTGCTCATCTTCAATATGATGCTGCAGGTGGATTCTGGGGGAGGAAAAAAAAAAAAGATACGATTGTGACTGTTTGCAATGCCCCCTCATTTTGTCATCTCTTATATGCTACATGTCAATGAGGGATGTGTGTGTGTAAACTGGATCTCCCTAAATGTTTAATATTGAACTAAAATTCAACTCAAAGCAAAGTGCTGTATGTCAATACAAATCAAACATAAAACACAATAAAAATAAATAAATAAATATGTAAATAACATATTCCTTTATAACACAAAAAACATAAGCATATATCACACATCGCTACTTCTGGTTGTGCTTGTGTTTGGCAATCGGTTCACTGCATGCACCGGATCTACACACACCAAGTGACATGTAATTTGTGGCTTGGTGAGGAAGTGCTGCATTCAAGAGTGAAAATGTCAGGCTTTCTCTCCCCTCTGTCTCTTCTTGATTGGCTTTCTTTTCAGAATTGGAAGAAGAGCCCCTTCAATAATAATTTCAAGTGTGGTGAAATTCTTCATCTTTTTTTAATATTTTGATAGAATGTCAGGGACCTTTTAGTAAGACGCCAAGGAACTGTTTGTTTTAAATGATGGAAAAGAAAAACTGAATATGAAGACAAAGAATGAAAGTTTTGGTGTTGTTTAAGACTTTTTTGTAACTAATAAACCAAGAGTAACTCACTTGTTGAACTCTGGAAGCTTTTCAAGGTCAAGCAGAGCAGAATGCGTTGTGATCTTGGAAGGGTTAAACTCGGATATCAGCTCATCTATTGTTCGTCCCACTCGATTGCCTACCAGGCACAATTCAAATTCGTTGGTACCGCATGATTACTGTAAAGGTGACGCAAGCACACGCCCCACTTAACAATTTACCACTCACTGCTGAATCCCGAGCCGCAGTTGGTGGTGATGTCCAGAAGAGCCTCCGGCAGGACGCCATCTCTCTGGAATTTCTGGATGAATATGTCCCCCTGCCTCTTGGATAGTTTGCTGCCGTCCTTGTTGGTCAGCAGTGGCAGGTGTCCGAAGGCGGGCGGCTGCCATCCGAGGGCCCGGTACATAAGGAGGTGCTTGGATGTGGAGATTAGCCACTCGGAGCCCCGAAGTACATGGCTGATCCTCATGTGGTGATCGTCTACTATGTTAGCGAGGTGGTAGGTGGGGAAACCGTCTGCCTTTATAACCACGGGGTCACCCTCCACCTGCAATAGTGATACTTTATCTATGAAATTGTAATTTTTTTTTCTATTATGTTTTGAGAAAAAAAAATGGTGGTCAGCCAATGAGGCCATTTGAAAAGTTTAGTGTTCAAAGTGTAAACTTACTGCAATTTAGGGTGATTATCCTTGAAAAAGTGACAAGTCATCACTACCGATGTGTCTAAAACTGTAACCGAGTGCTCTACCTGTGCCACCTCGTGACGATTCCACCCAAAGATGAGATCCTGAAAGGACTCCACTCCCTCCTCGAGACGGAACCGAATGACATGGGGCGCTGCCTGGGCCAGCTTTTCCTGGACCTGCTCACCTCGAAGGTGTCGACACCGGTTGTCATACCTGAGGAGGGAAAAAGTCAAATACCGGAAATGCCAAAGATACGTTGTGTCCTGTTGTGAGTCGGTGAGAATGACGTGATAGAGCTACAGTATAACCTGGGAGTCTGTCCTGTCCTCAGGGCTTCTTTTTTGAGCAGCTCCAGCCTTTGAGGGCTGCAGAAACAGTGGTAAGCGTGGCCTCCGTCCACCATCTGTGAGGCTGCCTGTCTATAAAGCTCCAATCTTTTTGACTGAAGGTACGGACCCAGCGGCCCGCCTCGGCCTGGACTCTCATCTGGAGGTATACCTAGAGTACAAAATCAGCCTTGAAACATGTTTTATGTCTTGCTGACATCACACTTTTGTCCTACCTGCCCACTCTAACATTTCTTCTATGACCTCAGCAGCCCCTGGTACCAGCCTGCTTTGATCAGTGTCCTCCAGACGCAGGACAAACGCCCCGCCATACTTTTTGGCAAAGATGTAATTGTAGAGAGCCGTGCGAAGACCTCCAAGGTGCAAGAAACCTGCAAAGAACAAGACATTAAAGTGATTATCTCAGGGTATTTATTGCCTAGAAAAAGAAAACAGAAAAAAGGTCACAGTGGCACAACGGAACTAACTCAAGTCATCAATCTACTTATGAGCCAAAGGGCCTAATCTATCAGTAACAACTGTGCCAAGGGCAACCCTCACAATACACGCCGAAAGTCACAACGAGTCACAATAATGTCAAATTTACCGGTAAGACGTCCTAAAATGTGACAATATACGAAAAATAGCAGCCCAGTACATACAAGGAAATAAAGTCACACAAAAACACTAAAATTAATAAAGTTAATGAAGACTCACGAAAAAACAAACATTGGAAAACATTTTCAGTAACAACTTTTTTAAAAAACGAGAATGCTGTAAAAACGTTTACGTTTATAAAGCTAATAATTAGAAGATGTCATATTCCTACTACGACAGACCTCGCAGCAGCTCACTAGCATTTTTTTACCTCAGGGTTTGGACCGACCTTACCTGTCGGACTTGGGGCGAACCTCACCCGTACATCGCCCCCAGCCGTCGTGGCGTGTCGTCTGCTGAAAGCGCAGTCAGGCAGGCGTTTCGTCCGCCGTTTT